TTTTAATTAAGTTAATGGAGTTATAATCTTGTAAAATAAGAAAAAGAAAATTTAAAATACTACAAAAAATATGTTATATTATTTAATTAAATTATTTTTTAATTAGATTTTATTTTGTAATCGGACAGTTCGAGTGATTTGAAGGTAAAATCACGAACCAAACCAATTATATCGGTTTTAAAATTTTAGAATTCAAACCAACCCAATTTTATATCGGTTTTGATCGAATCAGTTTAGATTGAATCAATCGGATTGGATCAGATATGAACACCCCTACCAATAAGAACACCAAAGATTCGAACCCAAAAAGAATTTGTAGAAAAATTATATTGCTCCATTGTTAAAGAGGCTTGAAACCGTTTAAGAATTAGTAGTGAATTACTGAAATTCCAAGGTCCTCTGTGAAGAGCCTTATTGAGATCCCCAATCTCATAAAATTGAAATAGATAAATTTTGTTGCCAATTTCGAAAATTGTAAAAGCTTTCCTAGGGTTCCAAGCAACCATTAACGCATCATGAAGCCCATTCATATTGATCTTTTTTCGAGATAGTATCTTCCCCACTAATCGCATATTTCCGACCTTGGGTTCATCGGGTTTCCAGAGCGAATGCAAGGGAAGGATACCATCCTCATCTTTTGTGGGACAGACCCAATTAAGCATAGATCCAAGTTCTTCCTCTACCATTCAGATCACACACCCATAACCACCACCAGCAAGGAGATTAAATCGACACCCTGGACTAGATCAACAGCCCTCGGTATCCAAGGTTGTGCCCCAGTTTTAGAGTATTGCAAACAAAGCAAAAGGGAAATTGGAGGAAGAGGAATCAAGGATATGCGGTAGAAAAGGGAAGGGAAGCAGTGGAGAAGGAAAGGAAAGGTGGCTCCACAAATCGGAGAGGGACCCAAAGGAGAAATCCCACCGCCACCAAAAACCCTAAAGTTTCAAAGGACGGGGGAAGACGAAAGTTTTCTATAGGTTGGGTTGGACTTGATTTTTGGTGTTTTTATTAAAATTTAAATTAAATTGATTCAACTTGAATTTTAGTTGTTAGGTTTTAAAATCAAAAACTGAAAGCAAATGTGAATGTAATGAGAAAATCCTACTTAAAAAACTTTTCATATAAAATTTTTAATAATTTTTAGACTTTTTGTATTTTTTTTGTCACTTTTCACTAAATTAGTTATTTATTTAAGTAATTTTAATTTTTTTTATGATTGAATTAATAAAACAACAATAAAAAATTTTTGAAAGTCATAAAAATATATAATTTTTAAAATCAAAACCGACCTAAATTATTTTTAAAAAAAATTAACCAAAACTAATAATATCTAAATCTTTCAATTTGTTAATAGTTTTTAACATTTAATAACTAAAAATTTAATTAATTGGTAAATTTAATTTTAATTCCAATCAAAATTGAATCGTACTCACCCCTACTTTTTAGTCAGCTCTCTTTTGCTCTTCATCTAGCTGTACTGTAATTGATTGTATTAAGCTTTAAATAGAAGTAAAAATTTATAGAGTTTCACGTGACTCGATTATGAATTATTTGATTGTAAATTAATCAAAATTTAATATAATTATTAGATATTGAGAAGTAAATAAAAAAGAAAAAAAGCAAAAACTATGTTAGCTATGCTATATTTCTTTTATCAACCAAATTATAAATTAAATTAAGTAAGAATATAAGAGTACTCCAGCGTTTAAAAAATATACTTTCTTTAAACGTAGTAGGGTAACACTCCCACATCACAACAATACAAAGAGAAAAGTATCATGCTTATGCCGAAAGGATCTTTTGTTTAGTGGCAAAAACCCTACTTTTCTTTTCTTTTCTTTTTTTCTTTTTTTTGGATCAGCGCGGCAGTGCCTAGGGGCAAAAACTGATGTCTCGTAACTCAAAGATAATGGGATTTAATCTCACCTTTTGCGAGTTATGTTCCTTTTTCTTGAGTTTTTTGTTTCTGTTATTCTTTATAGTTTTTTTTTTTAATGAATTTGAATAATGGATAAATTTTTTTTTTTTTACTAACCATTTCATATCTTTTAATTATTTTAAATTTTGATTAATTTAAAGTCGAGTTGAATCAAACTTTATTAAAAAAAAACTCTACTAATATTTATCTTTTCATTTATAAAATTTAAATTTAAAATTTTACTTTAAAAAAATCAAACTATTTCTACTTAAATCAATCCGTTATTGATTGAATAATGGGCAAACTTAATATATAATCTATGAAGTGTACACATACATGCATGTACCTGACATTTCAAAAATGAAGAAAAGTATCATGCAGTACTTGCAAACCACCATTTCACAAGTACAGGCACCACCATCATTGAGCTTGCTTCCCAATCAATAAAAATAGTATTAAAATAATTCAAAGTCGCAAGTGTGATTATTTATTAAAATTATTTAAAAATTTTTTTGTTTAAATGATATTTTATTTATTTATAATCTTTTAAAATAGTTTATTATGATATATAAAATTATTTATTTATAAATTAATTTTAATATATTACATAATAAATATTTATTATTTTATTAATTATTAAGTATTTTTAATAATTAAATTAAACAAAATTAAATAATCTTAATACAATAATGAATACTAATCATAACTACACCTCAAACTTTTATTACATCCAAGGACAGAGTATCTCAAGGGCAGGGGGACCATGGCGACCCTAGCCTTCTAAGAAAAAAATTTAATATATTTATGTGAAAATTTTGGCACATACATTAATATATACAAGTATTGAAATTTAAGAAATAAGTAAACATTCTGTCTAAAATTTTAGTTAAGGACCTAAATCCAATCTCAAAGAATTTATTTAAAATGAAAGAAAATAAGTTTATAAAGTGCTTTTTTTTTGTTGATTATTATTAAAAAAAGGTTATGGCATAAAGTAGTTATATATTACAATTTTTTATATTTTAGATTATTTTTCTATGGAAATCCAACTTTATATGAACAATGATAATTTTAGAAAATCTTAAATAAATATTTATAAAAAGTGATTTTAGAATAAAATATCTTTTAACATTACCAAATGTAGTGTGATTTTCGGTGCTCGAAACAACCAACGGTTAAAATTTCTAGTACTTTGGCTTATATTGTCTATTTTTGTTTCAAACACATAGTCCAGTACCGTTGGAAAATCTTAAAGTAGAAACGAAGGACAGCGGGTTACATGGGCTACAGTTTTCAGGATAGCAACGCACATGTAGTATAATATGAGCCCCCACATTTAAAATTAAAGGCCACAAACTCTCATCATTGCTGTCCGTAGTGAAGGAAAAACAGGGTTCATGAAAAAATGAAGGGAAAAAAAATGGGGTTTGGATTACATTTGTTTTGATTGGTTCTTTTGTTTGACTGCCAGAAAAACAGTTTCTTAACTTTCTATTGTTTAAACATCATTAACGTAATTATTCCCACAACCTAATGATTACCGAACAGAACTCACTTTCCACCTCTCATGTGTGCTGCTAATTTATTCTTTGTTTCCTCTTTTCCCCCCTTTATTTTTTTTCTCCTTTTCCTTTTGTTTGAAATTGAATGACCCATGTTGGGCTATTATTCTCCAAACATTTCACCTTTCTTTTTCTTAGATCAAGGTGAGAATGGATAAATTAGATATGAGTTTTTCTATTTCATAGTTTAAAAGTGTAAGTTAAGAGTGTATATATTGTATTTTTATTATATATTTGTATAAAAAGTTATAAAAATAATTTTTTTATCAATACTAAACAGAATGATTTAATTACACAATTAATAAAATTAAAGTCAATTTTTTCCTTATGTAAATTAATAGTAAAAATATAGAATAAATATACCTTTAATCTATGCTCTTAGAATATATGATAAAAAAATCTATCAGAGAGTATTTGGAGGTAAACAAGCTAATGATGTTTTGCTGTTCATTTTGTGTTGAATTAAAATATCATAATGTTTAGATAAGTGGAATTTGATATGAGTTTAACTTATTTAAAGGCTTTAATTTTGTAATTCATTGTAGATCAAATTGTAAAATTTATTCTTGAAAAAGATAGAAAAACTGAAAACAAGTAATTAAAGGTGTTAATTAATAGTCTTGTTATTACTAACAACCTATATAAATTTAAGCTTTTAAGGACAAAGTGTATCACACTTCAAAGAGCTTTTAAGCCTGAGGGGATTGGACCAAAAGGTTGTGACATTCGGTGTTATGGGACCATGTTAAACCCTTAAACTTCGCATCCAAAGCGTTATTCCTGATCCAGCAGGGGTTGACAGCAAAAAGATGGAGTGCCACCCATCTCATCAAGCCATTCATCTTAAATGTTATTTTCATTTTAGCACAATGGACACTATATTTGCTTGGTATCTTATTTGTAAGTTTAAATGGTTTCACTTCAATTATAAATCAAAGTTCCATAATTAATGAATATTAATTAAGTCAAATCTCATTATTACTAATGTCCTGGTCTTTTATTTTGTTGGGAGAATTTTCTAATATGCTTGGAATACGAATAACGTCTTTTCAATAAAAATTTCTTATAATTAAGAGTTTAAATTTATATATTAAAAATTTTGAGGTCAAATTCTAATATATTTTTTGGCTAGAGTTTAAGTCTTTATAATGGAGGTTTTGAAATTAAATCCTAAAACAAAATAAAAATGATTATGCTTTATTATATAACCATAATTCAACATTCAACAAAAGAATGGCATTTTGTCGACTTACAATTGACTTGTTAGTAAAAGAAGAAAAAAAAAAAAAAACAATTGTGCTGCTCTTCATTAATTTGCTAGATATACCATGTTTGCATACACCTAATAATGCATTACAAATTTCACCCTAAGAAAAGGTGTGGCATTACAAATGAAATTTCTTGGTAATTACAATATGTATTTCCATAAGAGAATGGAGTGTAACTAAAAGCTATTTCTATTTCTATACATACTTCAAAAATTCACTAGTAAATCATTCCCCAAATAAACCCCAAAAAAAGCAGTTGTAGTTGTAACATATTTTTTGTAATCCTCTAGAGCTCCATTTATTATGATGTAATCATATACTACTAAACCTTTTTGGGTCTACTTCTTTGATAGGAACACCCATAATCAAACAAATATATCACGAAAACCACAAAAATTTAATTTTGTAGCACAAAAAACAAAAAATCAGAATTACATATGTTCAGCAAGATCAAGCAGATCTGGATCATCCACGTGTCATAGACCCAATTCCCCTGGAAATCTCATGCATGCCTGGGTTGAACCCCAAGCAACCCAGCAGCCCCTGTTTGTACGGTAAAAACGTCTTCCTCTTCATCTCCTCCGTCACCGCTCGGTTCGCCGTGTAATGCAACTCGTGAGCCGAAATCGGTCCTCTTCTCCGGCTAGACACCGATCCCACACTCTCCGTTGACCGGAAACTTGAATTCTTGACATCCTCTGTTTCTTTCTTCGCCAGCAACGCGTATTTTCTTAGCTGGTCTTTCCCCGTTCGACCTTCCGATGCGCTCCGGAAGAGTAGAAAATCTTTCAATCTCCATTTTCTGTAACTTTTCGAAAATGAAATCGCCGACAGAATGGAAGAAGCGTAAGACTTCGGAGTGGTCGCCGTTCGATTTGCAGTTGATTTTTCGGTTTGATTATTGTCGTGATCTGGTTCGAACATGATGTCGGGGACTCTAAGGGGAGACAAAGATCTGCTCCCTTTATGAACATAACTCGAAGATGAAGAAACAGACGATCTGTGTCTCCCTCGCTGTGAATTCTTCTGTTTTTGTCCGAATTCTTCCCCTATTCTCGTCTTCTCTAATGCAACCGCAAATGGGTCTAATTCCTTTTTAGGCGAAATTTTCGATTTCGGTGATTTTGGAGATCGCGGAGATCTCGGGGAGCAAAGACCAGAACCTTGATCATACCCTGGCGGTGGTTTCAACGGCCGGATTTTGCCACCGTCGAAAAGCTCCTCCGCGGATAAAGACGTTCTCTCCAGCTGCCCGCTAAAATCGAACTCGAAATCTTCCTCTATGGCATCATGATTAACATTTTTGCTTCTGGAACCGCCAGCTTTAGGAGTTCCGGGCTTTTCCTCCCAATCGAAGGGGACCGCCGACTGCGAACTGTCAGCGGCGTCGTTGAAGTCGCGGTGAAAGGAGGAAGCGCGAGTGGGGCTGGTGGGGGCGCTGAAGAAGACGTTGCCAAAGCGCTGAGGGCTGGAAGGAGCAGTGATGTATGGAGAAGAACACGAACTGTCGAAGTTGGAGCTGTGTGCGGGGACTGGTAACACTACGTCCATCTCAGTTATTGGATTGGGTAGCTAGGTAGAGGTAGAGAAAGGTCAGAGCATTGCAGGGGACAGAGGAGAGGAGGAAGGAGGAGGGGACGGCGGAAGATTTGACTAGGACTAGGTGTGAGCATATGTTCGTAGTTGTGACTTGTGATCGATGAAGACTGGGGGGAGCCGCCTTTATATATAAATCTACAAAAGACGAGTATAATGTCATGGTAATCCAATGGTGGGTTCTTGATATTTCTACAATGGATTTACATTAATATTTTATTTATTTATCTAATTTATGTTTCAAGAACATATGGTAAGATTTGTATATTTAATTAATTTTATATAAAATTTTATATAAA